GAGAATACTCCTCATTCCTTGAGTCATAGGATAAGCCAGAGTTCCTTTACAGTATACAGTCTCTCCCCAGACTGCGCACTCAACTGTGAGCAGGCACTTGACATTGATCTGACCCCACCCTGAGGGTGTTATACATATCTTAATAATTTGCAGATGACAGCAGGGGAATTTTGTGGTTGATCCATGACAAATATTATTATTATTTTGTGGCCAGGCGTGGTGGCTCACGCCTGTAATCCAGCACTTTGGGAGGCTGAGGTGGGCGGATCACAAGGTCAAGAGATCGAGACCATCCCAGCCAACATGGTGAAACCCCGTCTCTGCTATAAGTACAAATATTAGCTGGGCGTGGTGGTACACGCCTGTAGTCCCAGCTACTTGGGAGGCTGAGGCAGGAGAATCGCTTGAACCCGGGAGGTGGAGGTTGTAGTGAGCCGAGATTGCGCTACTGCACTCCAGCCTGGTGACAGAGTGAGACAGACTCCATCTCAAAAAAAAAAAAAAAAAAAAAAAAAATTACCCTCTTAAAGATCAGTAATACGGCTAGTTTGACAGCTGGTTGACTGTGAACTTAACCCAATTTTAATCTAGATAACTTATGCCCCAATAATATCTGAGACATAAAAATGACAAAGAAAGGCCATGAGGTGTTTAGTTAAGACTGACTGAACAATTCAGCTCTCCTTATTACCATATAATCACACTTCTTTCTTTTTTTTTTAATCATACTTTAAGTTCTAGGGTACATGTGCACAATGTGCAGGTTTGTAACATATGTATACATGTGCCATGTTGGTGTGCTGCACCCATTAACTTGTCATTTACATTAGGTATATCTCCTAATGCTATTCCTCCCTCCTACCCCCATCTCATGACAGGCCCCAGTGTGTGATGTTCCCCACCCTGTGTCCAAGTGTTCTCATTGTTCAATTCCCATCTATGAGTGAGAACATGCAGTGGTTTTCTGTCCTTGCAACAGTTTGCTCAGATGATGGTTTCCAGCTTCATCCATGTCCCTGCAAAGGACATGAACTCATCCTTTTTTATGGCTGCATAGTACTCCATGGTGTGTATGTGCCACATTTTCTTAATCCAGTCTATCATTGATGGACATTTGGGTTGGTTCCAAGTCTTTGCTATTGTGAATAGTACCACAATAAACATACATGTACATGTATCTTTACAGCACCCGTGATTATAGATCTTTGGTATATACCCAGTAATGGGATGGCTGGGTCAAATGGTATTTCTAGTTCTAGATCCTTGAAGAATCACCACACCTGTCTTCACAATGGTGAATCTAGTTTTTACATGTCCTACCAACAGTGCTTAAAGGTTCCTTGTCTCCCACATCCCGTCCCTAGCACTGTTGTTTCCTGACTTTTAATGATAACCATTCTAATGGTGTGAGATGGTATCTCATTGTGGTTTTAATTTGCGTTTCTCTGATGGTCAGTGATGATGAGCATTTTTTCATGTGTCTGTTGGCTGCATAAATGTCTTCTTTTGATAAGTGTCTGTTCATATCCTTTGCCCACTTTTTGATGGGGTCCATGCTCATGGATAGGAAGAATCAATATAGTGAAAATGCCCATATTGCCAAGGTAATTTATAGATTCAATGCCATCTCCATCAAGCTACCAATGACTTTCTTTACAGAATTGGAAAAAAAAAAACTGCTTTAAAGTTCATATGGAACCAAAAAAGAGCCCACATTGCCAAGACAATCCTAAGCCAAAAGAACAAAGCTGGAGGCATCACGCTACCTGACTTCAAACTACACTACAAGGGTACAGTAACCAAAACTGCACGGTACTGGTACCAAAAGAGAGATATAGACCAATGGAACAGAACAGAGCCTTCGGAAATAATACCACACATCTACAACCATCTGATCTTTGACAAAAACAAGAAATGGGGAAAGGATTCCTTATTTAATAAATGGTGCTGGGAAAACTGGCTAGTCATATGTAGAAAGCTGAAACTGGATCCCTCCTTTACACCTTATACAAAAATTAATTCAAGATGGATTAAAGACTTAAATGTTAGACCTAAAACTATAAAAATCCCAGAAGAAAACTAGGCAATACCATTCAGGCCACAGGCACGGGCAAGGACTTCATGACTAAAACACCAAAAGCAATGGCAACAAAAGCCAAAATTGACAAATGGGATCTAATTAAACTAAAGAGCTTCTGCACAGCAAAAGAAACTACCATCAGAGTGAACAGGCAACCTACAGAATGGGAGAAAATTTTTGCAATCTACTCATCTGACAAAGGGCTAATATCTAGAACTTACAAAGAACTTAAACATATAATCACATTTCTCATCTTTATGAGATGTTTCTTTGGAAGCTGTGGGTGTTGCCGACAATCTGGAACATCCATCATGTTTAGTTTTGGAAGAGAAGTAAAATATAATGATGGGATGCATGTATTCACATGGATATTCTTAAGGGGCCTAGCCTTACAATTCTTAGAAAATTAACTGTTTAAGCTCTTATACTCTGAACTGGGCATTGATGGATTAAATAATTAATAAAAATTGAATACTTAATAAAAATTCAGAATTTAGAAAAGACATTTGTGAATGTGCTACTGAATAAGTCTGAGCCAAAGGTTTGGACGAAAATGTGGGCTCACCCAGATTAGCAGTGCTAGACACTGGTAAATTAAGTTTCAACATTTACAGTTCATCTTGGCAGCTGCTCATGTCCTGATGTCATGCAGCCATGATGTAAGCGAGAAAGAGTGATGTTTTGCAATAGAGGGATTTTGGTAACCCTTCCCATGAGTGTGGGTTGCAGGATATAAATATGTATATCACTTCAGAGAAAGCATGTTACGTTTTGTAATGCAGAGACATTAAATGGCTTCCTTATGGTCCTCTGCATAGATGAATCGTCTTCATGTTTAAATCAAAAGCTTAAATTGCTGATGTTTGTTATTTTCTTATGACTTTTTTCTCAATTAAATATAATGAATGGAAATCTTGACATTACCAAAATGAACATGTTAAAATTAAAGGATTAGATTCGTATTGTGCCAGGAAAGACTAAAAGATGAACTAAGTTATAATTTCATCCTTTTCAAACTTTATGAAAACACAACTATACGAAAAGTTACCTTGGGAAATATAATATAATGAATATAAGAATATAATGACAAGCATTGCAATTACTTTTTTTGCAAATTTACTGACTCCAGGATGGCTGAGATTATTTTCTGTGCCCCGTCCTCATTATACTCTGAAATGCTAAATAATAAAGCACTCATGAATATTGATGACTTAAAAATGTGTTCTCAAATAATTGAAGGATAGACAAAGGGAAGAGACAAAATGGGGAATGAAAGAAATTGATGAACCTCTTGGCTAGTGTAATGCAGTTAAAGATGCCAGAAACATGTTGGCATTTGTTTCCTAAATAATCCACCCCCAATTAATGATACATTGATTGATAGCTGAAAGTGTAGTTCTGAAGCACAAACTTTACTGAAAGGCTCTTTTTAGGGTCTTCTTGCATATAGAAAAAAAATGAAACAATTTCCAAATATCTTATACTTATGCATTTTCCCACTTAAGTTCTGCTTAGGTACTTAAATATTGCCAGATGTGGCTCTAGCTCCATAGGAATGTCAGAAATGCCTTCGTACAAAATTAATGCTAGGAACTACAGGATCACAAGATTGTTTTATATGAAATATCATAAACAGATGGTTATCATAAGCCACACTCTGAGTTTCTATACAATCTCACAGGGTAGATTTTATGTTGTTAATAAGTGCTATTCTATAGATGAAAAAAGTTGAATCTCTGTATTTGTTTTGGTTAACATTTTGGTTTTGCAACCTGAGGATTTTAATTCTCTTCCTAATGTTCTAATTTTAATTATATTGTGTTTGTAATTTATAAGTATTTATAGACAACAAATATTTATAATCTTTAAAGTTATCACCCCTCCAGACTCCAGCATTAATTTCTTTCTCCTTTTATCAGGAGGCAGTTCTTAATTAATTAAAGGCAATCCTGTATTATTTCTTCCCATACTCTCCCCAGCTATTTTACATCTTTTTGAAATACTCAGGAAGAGAATCGCTTTCTAGGTGTGGTCTGTCACTGGAGTCATTGGGAGGAAACTTCAATTCTCCACTCCTTGGTATGATGTAAGCTTTGCATACTGTGTGAAAACATTCAGAAAGTGCTGACTGCAGTTCATTTGCATTAAATTCCTTCTGAAGGAAAAACAAAACAAGTTAAATACCTTCTACACAAAGGGAAGCAGAATTTTAAGTTTGGTTTAGGAATGAATGAAAAGTTATAATTTAATGTAAATGAAAGGCTTGTTGCTGGACTGTCATTGCAAGAATAGTCAAGTTTGATCCTCTTTTCACCACTCATGATCAAAATTGTCTTGCTTATCTACATCACAAATGGAAAAAAAAAGAGTCCATTGTTTTAGATTGAATCTTAAAAAATGATAGCTATTATTACTCTTTAATATTTTATATTTCCTTCAAAAATAAATTATTTCACAAACTAAACACTAAAATATACACCTTAGATAATATCGAGTGGTGTGTTTCAGGGTTAGAGGTGGGGTTGAGGTCCATCTCGATATGCTGATGTTGAGGATCTCACCGGCAATGCACATTTGGAAAAACATTTCCTTATTCTACTGTCAAGTTTTAGAGCTACCAGGGCCTTGTAGAAAATGAAACCAAAGCCCAAATAAATTAAGCAACCTGCATATGACTGTTTGAATTAAGTGGCAGAAATATAACTAAGAGGAAGGATACTGATTTTTTTTTTTTTTTTCAGATGGAGTTTCGTTCTTGTCGCCCAGGTTGGAGCGCAGGGTGGCCATCCCGGCTTGCTACAACCTCTGCCTCCCAGGTTCAAGCGATTCTCTTGTGTTAGCCTCCAGAGTAGCTGGGATTACAGGCATGCGCCACCACACCCAGCTAATTTTTGTATTTTTAGTAGAGACGGGGTTTTACCATGTTGGCCAGGCTGGTCTCAAACTCTTGACCTCAGGTGATCCATCCGCCTCGGCCTTCGAAAGTGCTGGGATTACAGGCGTGAACCACTGCGCTTGGCCTGGATACTGATTCTTATTATTTTGACTGTTACTCCATTTTTTTTCCCTCTCCCTCTTATGTGCAAATCTGTTAACAAGTGTTCAAAAATGATAAAGAAAGTTTCCACATGCTGTAGTCTGGTGAAATAATTCTATATCCTGTTTTCAGTTTCTATTTTAGGGCCAATTGTAGACTTTTATTCAGTAGGAGAGTTCTAGGATCTCGGTCCAAATGAATGGTCACCGGGTAATTCCACTGATAACTGGAGGAAGTGATGAACAAAAGCATTAGGGACCAGTGAGTCCAACACAAACTTTTATAACCCATGTAGAAATGGAAATGCTTTGCCTACTTCAGACTTGATATCCAGATAGCTTCAGTCTTCAGAAACTCTAGTTTATTCCATATTTTACATATAAAGGCTGTATGTTGTTACAAGCTGTGTATGATTTGTATTTGCCTTGGAATTTCCATTCTGTTTTCAGTGGCTTAGATTTAAGACACATGTTTGGTTCACTGGAGGTACCTTAACACTGATTTCATTCTAAAAGCTGACATCACATTCTTTTAGACACCATGAAAACAACAAGTTTGGGATAAGGTTCATTGAGCAAATAGAATTAGGTCCATCTAGGTGGTAAAAAATGCTGGGTAGTAAGAACATGAAGAACCCAAGCAAGGCATTGCTTTGGCTTGCTGCAAAGTTGATTATTATTCCCATGAAAATTCACATCTGACACAGCCAGGGACATGAAACTCAGTCTTTCTGTAGTGAGAATAATAACCACACAACAACAAAAAACCCAGAGTGAAACAACGAACTTGACTTCTGTCACCGCAGCTTGTTCGCTTGGCTTCCATCACTCCTTAAGGATGGCAAAGTCTAAAGGCCAACGCTGAAATTTATCTTCTCATTTCATTGTGATCCCAACTTTCGTTATTTTCGAGTCTAGTCAGCTTGACAAGTTTTGTTGTTTCATGTGAAAACTTTAATTTTGAGCTCACTGATCTCTACAGATGCCTTGATGAAAATTCTTCACAAAGGCCTCACAGCGGTCGTCTTTCTCCACAACAGACATTGTAAGGTGATTTCAATTTTAGACACCTGAAACAAAGCATTGGTTTCCATATGAATTTGACTGTGGTTCATATAGGTCATTGAAGCTTACATAAATGCACCCTGCAGCAGTTGCTCTTGGTGTCCCTCCCAGATCGCCTTTACCCATTGGTCAACCCATCCCTCAGCAGCTATGGGCATTAACAGGCTCATTGGCAGCAGTCTTCTCCCAGGGTCTGCGCATGGCCAACTGAGTGCCCTGGCAGGAGATTGCTGGGAGATTACAAGCCCCTGTTCCTTACCCCACATGAGTCCATGATTGAATAATATGGGATATTGAAATCCAGATGCCTCTTATCCTTGCGAGAAGTCTACACTGCTATTCACATTCTAGATCTCCCTGTGGAATCAGACTGCGGCTACACTTCAGTTAAAGCCACATCTTTGCTTAGCTTCTTCTTGTGCTCCATCTGCTTTCCTTACTTTATTACGGGTTTCACCTAAAATAAAGGTAGAGTACTCCCTCAACCAATCATATGCACAGCAATTTCCATCTGAAGGCTCTGCTCCTAGGAAATCTGACCTCAGAGAGCCACCTTAGTAATGTGGAAAAGTCTTACCTCCTTCTCCTCCTCCTCCCCTTCCTTATTATTGCATTTCTTGGTCTGTTAGGCAAATCTACAACTGATATAATATAGATTTGATTCTCTCTAAGATGTATTTGTTAAGCAAAATAAACTTTTCTAATTTTGAACAGGCAGTTTTGGTCATTCAGAAATGACAACTTTTTAGAGTACAGCAAGGGAAATGATGTATTTGTATTTTTTTGTTAGGGTATCTCACTTTATTTCTTGACTTTATCCTAGTTACACGGATTTAAGGAAAAATTACTCATGTGGAAAAAAACAAGAATTAAGAATGAATATGTAAATAATTACAATTATTTGTAGATTATCTTCTTAGGTTTTTAGCAAAAGACAGTATCTTCTGAAGATACCCCCAGTTGATGTCTGGGAAGAAATGGCCAGTGTTTGTCACACATTTTTATTCAGTTTTTACTTGTTTCTTAATTTTATTTCACTCAACAAATATTTACTCAGAGTGTGTTGTGTGCTAGGCATAGTGTAAGGCACTGAATACACAATTTTGAACAAGATATACTTAGTCCCTACTTTCTTGGGGCCTGCTGTCCTCGTCATTTATAATTTTAATGTGGGCAGACAGAGATAGGATGAAGGGAGACTACTTTTAAACTCTCCTATTACAACTGAAGCAAATTTTTACCACTCATCTGGGTTTATGAGAAAAGGCATGAAAAATATTACATAGAAACTTTTTGCCAGATTTACAGCTCTTTTTTAATTAAAAAAAAATTTACATGTCAATTCCTGGCACATTATAGAGGCTGAATAAATATTTGTCAAACGAATGCATATGAAGTGACTTCATATTTTGTCTTTTTCATACCTTTTTCTTATATAGCAGTAAAAAATAACAAGAAAACCACTTAATAGTAATCCAACACCAATCCCAATTGCAATGTATTTTTCATAAGAATCCACAGCATATGAAGTTAAAGTCAAGTGCTCACACCTTTCTCCAGTATAACCAGTAAAACACCTTTAAAAAAAGAAAAAAAGTTTAATTTTAAAACCTATGGTGGTAGAAATACAAATAAATAACCTGTTTCAATAAATTTAAAAAAATAAATGGAAATAAGGAATTTAATTTGAAGAGGCAAATACCAAATGAAAGCCAATCTGTTAAGGGCAATGAAGCAGCTGTGAATTTTCCAATAATCATGAAGGCCCCATATTTTCCCTTCATTAGTAGAGGGAAAAGGTAGTATGCTTGCATAATTTACTCTAGCAAAATCATTAGTCTATTCTTCCATAGGAGAATACTGAGCAAATCATGATCATAAAAATAGTATCTTAGTTGCTCTAGAACTTCATATTCCTGTAATGTTTTTGCCTTAGTTTCCTTCATTTCATCCTGAAAACATCTCCAAAACTTAAAATCACCTTTGCATGTTGTTAAAAATGCAGATTCTGATTCAGTAGTTCTGGGGTAGAGCATAGATCCTGCATTTCTAAAAAGCACCAGGTTCAAGAGATGCTGCTAATCTGGCAACCATGTTTTTAATTAATGAGGATTAAATAGTTTAGACAAAAGACTCCTTAGATACTCAAATATGTAGAGGCCTGTCAAGTCATGTTCAGATTATGCACCCTTTTAAACTAAAGAGAGAAAAGTGTGGAAATGTACTATATGAAACAACAGAGGTATAAAATCATCTCCTGTCTCTAGGACTTGGAAAGTTCTTTGCGTTTACCTGCAGATGGCTTTCTCTAGTTCATGGTGGAATGCACAAGCACCATTGATGCAGTAACTGTTATGATCTTCCAGGCAAAGGTGTGAGAACTTCAAGGCTATGGGTCCTTCTACGTTGTCAGCTAGGAAAAGGAGATACAATATTAGCAAATGAAATGTGTCTTACTTTTATGGTAAAATTTTAATACATATGTAAATAAATTTTTAATTTTAAGGATATTTGGGGGTGGTGCTGTGTCCTTTAAACTATTGATTCTCTTAGCAGGTTGTATTCACAAGGGCTGGGTTAATATCATCTAGACATATGACATATTATTAATTAATTAGGGGATGGAGGTGGATTGATGATTGTTTCATTTTTTAAAGCAGCGTGGTAAGACAGAAAAGGCAACAAATTCGCCAAGAGGTGGCAGCATTGGTTCTAGTCTTAGCAGGTTATTATGAGCAATGCTTCCCAGACTTGTGCCTGAGTACTAATTAATATAGAAGGTCTCACATAATATTTCCATTTTCTTTCTTTATACCTGAGAAGTCAGCACTTGGGAAGATTTGAATTTACACTTGTGAGATAATAAACAAGATTCTTAATCCTGATTCTCTGATGTACAAAAGACATACCTATGCCATTGTTGGTGTTTATGCAGTGGGAATGACCCTTGGGTAAAATTGCATAATTGAGTCCTTTGGGGTATACCTTTTGATTCTTAAATTTTTCTCAAGCAGAATCAATGGCAGTTTACTTGTCATTTTTAGAAATAAACATATTTCCTCATCATTATGATAAAGGTACATCATATTTGCCTTGCTAAGATTAGGCGAATCTTACTTGTTTTTAGGGAAAAAACAGTTTTAAGAGGCATTCGAAGATTACAGACAAGATACTATGCTGTATTACTTTATTTTGGTGAGAACACACATTACCTTCTAATTCACATTCATTTTGTTGAATAGGATGAATACAATTTATCATTTTAATAATTAATTCTCAGGCAGTGAGAATTTTCCATTATAAACTGTGCTGGGTGCTTTCTATTTCAAGACTAAACAAGTTCGATTAACTAAGCCTGAAACTAGATTTTGCAGAAAAATGTGAGAATTAAGCCATTTCTGACGAAAAGTTATACCAGAGAGACTCATCTTTCCCCTAAGAATGAAGAGAATGATCATAACTTTATAAAAATTTTTCTAAGATACTAGATTGATATTTTTAAGTTAGATAAAAAGCAAAAGGAAAAATTAAAGTTCTCCATCAAGAAAGTAAAGGAAAAATACAGAAATGATACACAGTTGTACCTCCATATTCATAGGATCCACATCTGTGAATTCAACCAAACTCATATGGAAAATATTTGAAAAAAAAAGCATCTGTACATAACATGTACAGACTTCTTTTCTTGTCATTATTCCCTAAACAATGCAGTATAACAACTATTTATATAGTGTTTACAATGTTTTAGGCATAAGTAATCAAGGGATGATTTAAAGTACATGGGTGTGTGTCTATAGGTTATATGCAAATATTTTGCTATTTTATATAAGGGATTTGAGCATCTGTGGATTTTGGTACCCTCTGGGCAGGAAGAAGAGGTCTTGGAACCAATGTTGAACCAATTATGAAGGATGACTGTATTGGATTCCTTTTTAATGTTATTATTACTTGTAACTCAAAAAATTTTATTTGCTGTTCACCATTAAGGAAGAACAAAAATATAGTACTGAGCATGCTATTACGAAGTCAGTCATTGAGAGAAAACTATGCTTCTTTAATTTTCTGCAGTATATTATATTCTTTTTTCTTTTTTTATTTTATTTTATTTTTTTTTTCAGACGGACTCTCGCTCTGTCACCCAGGCTGGAGTGCAATGGCCCCATCTCAGCTCACTGCAGCCTCCCCCTCCCGGGTTCAAGCAATTCTCCTTCATCAGCCTCCTGAGTAGCTGGGATTACAGGCATGTGCCACCATGCCCAGCTAATTTTTGTATTTTTAGTAGAGACGGGGTTTCACCATGTTGGCCAGGCTGGTCTCAAACCCCTGACCTCAGGTGATCTGCCCACCTCAGCCTCCCAAAGTGCTGGGATTACAGGCATGAGCCACTGCGCCAGGCCAGTATATTATATTCTAATAAGCTGTTTCCTCTTTGTTCAAAGGCTTAGAAGACAAATAGTTGGCTAAAAGTTGTTCTAAAACCCACATTGATCTCGTTTTGCAAATCAATAGATATTCAAAAAATCAAATGGGTAAAATATTTTGAGACAGTCATTTACAATTTTAAATTATTGAGGAAATGAAGAACACTGACATATGACAATCTTCCTTTATTTGCCTGACTCTGAGTACAAGATATTGTTTCCTCTGTCCTAAATCACATTGCCAGCCTTCACATAACAATCAGGATGCAATTTGCGAAAGAATCATAACCACTCAGTCACAGGTCTTGGTAAGCAGCAAGCTTTCCAAGTTTCACCTCTAAGAGTTTAAACAGATTTGAGAAAGAATGCTGATGCTCAAGAGCATCCAGAAGCCACCATGATAATAATTAAATACGAAAGAAAATATATCATCACCATCAATAACAAAAATTGGGTGCAAGTGGTTAGGAAATAGAGCATATGCTAAAATAACAACAAAAACCCCAAAGCAAACAAGAAAAAAAGATCATTCCAAAGATGAGGGAAAGTGCTTTTCATCTTGTAGCCATAATGTCTTTGGCAGCAAAGCTTATAATCACAGATCAAAATATAATGTTGCTCATCAAGAATGCCAAAATGGGGACAAACTGTCTCTGAACACACCGGGGTTATTGGGAACCAAGCAGAAATGAAGCAGAAAATGTGGCCTGTTTCACATTCAAGACAGTAACTGAAGACAGCTTTTGTCTCATTTGCTTCACTTCCTCCTTTTAAAAGGGCAATTATTTGCTGGCACATTTATCTGTCACTTCAATTTAATAGCATCCTGCTAAAAGAGTTGATTATCTAATAATAAAATATGTATTAAAAATGGCCAATGTTGCCTTTATCACACTCCAAATTTCTCTCCCAAGTTTCAGAAAAGTCTTGTGAAATATGAAAATGGGAAGAAAATACCTTCTGTTTTGTTAACTGTCCAGTTACCTTGCTGGGCTGTGATTGGAGGTGTTACAGTCACGGCTGCCTCTTCAGTCAGTGCTGTCATTGCTGTATTAAGGGGGCAAAAGCATCTTTAACAGAGAGCCTCCTTCTATGTACAAGCAACAGATGGAAAGTATTCTTATTCTGTTTATTCCTATTTCTATTATTTTTTTATTTCAGTTGAAATCCATAATGTGACTAGGGCAACATCCTTAGAGTTTCTCATCCATTCCATTGACTATATTAGGCTTAGAGCAAATAAAAACCCAATTTTTAAGACCATTGATACACTTACATATTAATCCAAAAATAAGAACACTATAGTATAATAACTAAATGTATCAATCACTCTTCAATTGTATAAAGCAAACATTCTGGAGGTCCCAAAAAAGGTGTCAAAATATATTAGGAAAGAAACATACAGGACATAAGAAACTAAATTAAGCCACAGATTCATTACTCTGATCTTTGCCATAAAGAACAACTATTAGAAACCAACTTCTCTCTAATGCAGAGAAAATAAATTCTATTCACATTTTACCCTGATACAAAGTTAACAAAACAAAAGGAAATTACCTACCGTTGAATAAAAGATAGACTGATATTGGAACTTCCAAAGCCATTTCCTGTAGTTGCTTAACTTTCCTTCTCTTATCCTTCTAGACTGACGAGTGGAAGGTTTTTATTGAGCTCTGAGTCTTTGTGGCATTTATATTTCATGAGGCGTCATCTGGCAGTTCTTACCAATCAAAAAAATATGTACTTCTGGCAGCAGCAGAAAGCCTCTGGGCGCTCACGCACTTGTTTAGGATACCTGTATTATCTAGCAATGCAATCAACTTTTCTTTTGAAACATTGGTTTCCTGTTACCTGTGGGCATAATCATGTATGTAAAAGTACTTAAAACAACAAGAACAAAATGTGATTTCAGGAAAGGCTCCCATTGGTGTGAAGAGAACTATACCAGCTCCAACAATGCTAGAAACCTATACGGGAGTTCAACAAACATAACTGCAAATTAGGAAGCAGCATAACCTGTTTCTAAAAGAAATATCCCTGAAACTGTAGTTGGTTATACCACCTTTCATTACAGACTATGAGTTCTATTTCAAATCAAGATAATTTGTTAATTTAGTTGCAGAGAACAGTTAAATTTGTGAAAACACAGACATTTCATATTCCATTTTAGTATTTGTTTCTTAGTTTTACTATAAGTACTGTAAATAAAATTATTTGTAATAGTATAACATTCACCTTTCTGTCATCCTGCTATTTAACATTTTTCTGAGTAAATGAAATGGGCTACCATGTTCCAGAAACAATGCTTAAATCTGCATCCCAATGATTAAGCTACAGAGAACCAGTAAAGTACCAACATAATGGTAATAGCAATAATAATAATATTAAAATTCTCCATTAAGAGAAAATTAAGATGACATTTAGTTTGGATACATCCAATGAATAGAAAGATTCTAAGTTAATACGACATTCAAATTATTTCTCAATGTTCATCTAGTTGTAATTATTAAAGTGGCACTTTAAAGGCCAAAATATGTCATTACAGCTACCATATTTTACAACTACAGAAATTTTCACTTGCCCCAAATTACTATAAATAATTTATAAATATATCTTCCTGAGGCATTGAGTCTTTCTGCCTGGAATTTCAATTGCTTGTATTTTCTTGAAATTTGAAACCTCAAAACCCGAAAAACGTATTCAAGTCAAGATAGGTTATCTTTTGCATCATGTCCACCCAGCAAATTAGATTTACCAGAAAGGAGCCCTTTCACTATTCGAATATAAATGTGGTGTTAGAAATCACACAAGAACAAGCTTGTTGAACTCATTATAACTTGGGCAATCACTTACCACAGGAGTCATCATTTTAAAGTTAAAATAATATAATAGTACTTGACTCACTTTAAATGTGTCTACATTTTGCATTTCTACTTTTGTAGGTTTTTTGAAACCTGTTGAATACTAAGTCAATTTCTGGATAATATATTTCCCAGGCAAATAACATTTGAATTATAAATCGAACAATCTTGTTTGCACAATTGCTGAGTATTTAAGAAGAAATCATTTACAAAAGATTAAATAAAGCATCACAATTCTTTTTGTAGTATCTGGAGGGAGATGTTAGGACTCATATTAAAAAATTTAGTTCTTTTTTTCCTTTCTTTTTTATTTTTATTTATTGTTTTCTTTTGAGATGGAGTCTCACTCTGTTGCCCGGTCTAGAGTGCAGTGGCGCGATCTCGGCTCACTGCTAGCTACGCCTGCCAAGTTCACGCCATTCTCCCGCTTCAGCCTCCTGAGTAGCTGGGACTACAGGCACCCACCACCATGCCCTGATAATTTTTTGTATTTTTAGTAGAGACAGGGTTTCACCGTGTTAGCCAGGATGGTCTCGATCTCCTGACCTTGTGATTCACCCACCTTGGTCTCCCAAAGTGCTGGGATTAAATACTTTATTTCTAAGACTGAGACACCAAAGTACAAAGATTATCTTTGTAAAAACTCTTAACTGTAGCTGGTGCAGTCCTTTGCACTTTACAAGTTTCCCTACACATCTCAGTTCTTTCTTCAGTAACCTCGGCCCATACAAATCCAGTGCCTAACATCTAGTAAATACTTAATGAATCTGTCTTCAGAGAATAAGGAAATAAATAACAGGCATTATTTCTATTCTCACATGACAAATGACAAATTGAGGCTCAAAAGAATTAAGTGACTTGCCGAAGGACATTTCTAGAGTCAGGACTTCAATCTTGGCCAGGTGCAGTGGCTCATACTTGCAATCTCAGCACTTTCAGAGGCTGAGGGAGGAAGATTGCTTGAGCCCAGGAGTTTGAGACCAGCCTGGGCAACAGAGCAAGACCTTGACTCTACAAAAAATAAATTAGCTGGGCATGGTAGTCTGAGTTACTTGAGAGGCTCAGTAGGAGGATCACTTGAGCCTGGGAGGTCAAGGCTGCAATGAGCCATGATTATACCATGTCACCCCAGCCTGTGCTACAGACCCTGTCTCAAACAAAACAAAACAAAACAAAACAAACAAACAAACAAAAAGGACTTGAATACTATATTTTCACATTCTAAATCATATGCTGTTTCCATCCCTAACTGTGTTCTCTTGGAGTTGTTGAAGTGATCTCAAAAGAATTCCCTTAATTATCTCCTAAAATCAAGCTTTAAATAAATTACCTTTATTAGAAAAAAACTAAATATTTAATAAACTGTGATTTTCACTCACATCTGGGCTGAGAGATGGAACTGCAGCCTCTCTGATAAACGGGGCCACTTAATATAGAAACCCATCTTCTGCTTTAGTTTATGGTGTATACTAGAAAGTAACTCTAAGTCATCAAACATGTTGCCTTTCCTCTGGGGTCCGTACTCATGGCTCCCACTTAGTCTTTACAGGAAAGTCCACTCCCTTCGGGTCTTCAAATCTCTCACCCAAAAGTCCTTCCTCCAAATCCTAAAGAATGTGGGAGATGGATACTGTAAGGTGGTTTTTCTGATATCTTTATTCATTCTTAATATGCATTAAAGTAGGTTAGGGTGAGAAAGGAGAAGGAAACGAGAGGCCAAGAGCTCCACTATTACTTTTCCTTCATGCCATGTTTTTGGGTTTTTAAATGTACTTATCTTTCTTCTTCTAGAAGTTTATTTTAGAAGAGAGAATATCTGAAAGCTTGTTTTTCCCTCCCCTTTCTATCTTTTTTTCCTTGCTGTTTCACTAACTCAACCAAAATTTATTGCTGGTCATTGGCAGAGAATGGTGATCAGTTCATTGATTCTCTCTCTAGGTTTATTCTGTCACTTTCATGGATTCAGTTGCATTCATTCACAAAATATTGAATGACTACTATATCCATGGCACTGGGCTGGGTGAGATGATATTTGTAAGACAAATAGATAAATCATGCATAGATTTTGACTTCAAGGAACTAAAGGGATCTAGGGAAAGTACATACATAACTGCAGTACTGGGTAGAGAGTGACAACTGCCATGAATGTGTGCATAAAGGGCTCTGAGAACTAAGGGATGACATTTTTCATGGACAAGTTTCATTTGAAGTGAATCTTAAATAACAAGTAGGATTTAGACACCCAGTGATAAGAGAAAGGACTTGTGGTTGGGGGTGGGATCTGAGGGAAGGCAGAGTGGAGTAGTAAAAGGAGTGGCTTCTGACTCACATCATCCCAACAGATTTTGTTGTGAATTCAAATTCCACCTTTTCTATCTATTTGGCCTTGGCTGAGGCTTTTTAATAATCAGGAGGGTCAATAATTTTCTCATCTATTAAGTGGAGATTGTCAATAATGAGCAAAGACAAAAAAAAAAAAAAAAAAAAGGCACTTTGGGAGGCCAAGTCAGAAGAATCGCTTGATCCCAGGAGTTTGAGACCAGTTTAGGCAATACAGTGAGACCCCTCTCTACAAAAAATTAAAAACTTAGCTGGGCATGGTGGCACTCGCCTGCGGTCCCAGCTACTCCAGAGGTTGAGGTGGGAGGATTGCTTGAGCCTCAGAGGTGGAGGCTGCAGTGAGCAGTGATCACACCACTGTACTCTAGCCTGGGAAACAGAGCGAGACCCTGTCAAAAAAAAAAAAAAAAAAGAACAAAAGAGGAAAGTATTTAGCACATGCTAAGTGCTCAGTTAAGGATAGTTGTTACTACTGAGTAAGTGTAGAAAGTATACACACAGAGTGTGTATAATGGTTACCAAGGCCAGGAATTTAGTGTGACAGTATATGCTGACGAGTCCTAAATTCTTATCACTAACTATGAATTCTTATCCTCTTTCTAGACTGATATTACTTCAGAATTCTTATCTATGTATTATGTCATCACCTCAAACTTAACATATTTTAAACTGAACATATTATCACTACTCCAAAGTCAGCTCCCTTTCACAATTTTCTCATGTTAGTCAATGATAACAACTTCTGATCTCTAACTATAATTCTCATAACTTGCTGAATACTGCCAAATTCTGATTTATCCACTCCTCTAATTTATTTTTGCATACTTATCCAGCTGTACCACTTTCCAAAACAAACCTTTCATTTTTGTCTAATTGCAACTCTTGCTTTCATACATATATGCTAAACTCATAATAATTTCTGTAACTTTATTATGTTCTTTAGGGCGCTCTTTACAGATACTTTACAGATACAGATGTGGTAGGAGAAGAAAACAATCTCTACGCTCCTCCACAAGGCCGATATGTCTGTCTTTCAAGGACATCAAATAACTATGAAGTTGTGGTTCCAATAAATTGACTTTTCCTCTGTAATATGTTGACTCTGTCACCAAACCTGAGGTTCCTCTGAGCTCTCTCCCTGATCAGGTCTTGATCTAGACCCACTGAGCCCAGTTTTAGTAAAGAATCCTGCTAAGTCAGTTTATAGAGAGTCCCTCACCCTTGCTATTTTATCTAGTTTCTGATCCGCTTCCCTTGATATCTAAGCATTTGGCCTGCTGTTACCAAGCATCCTGACAAGCCAGTTTAGTAAGAATCCCCCTGCCCTGAATATCTAAAGTTCCTCTTAGTAATTTTCCATCCACCAATCCCCTAGCTCTGCTCATTGGCTATAAATCCCTAGCTGTCCATGTTGTATTCAGAATTAGTTCGATCTCTTTCATCCACTGCAATGGTCTTCACATCTTCTTGACTGTTTTAAACAAGTGTCAGAGTAATTTTTCTTCTACAGCATCTTAATTAGTTTACAGGAAGTCTAAATTTTGAATGTTATTCCAAAGGAACTATTCCCGCACCTCTGCTGGGGTAGAGCTCAAAATTACAGTCTTCACATTTTCCACATACATGTATTTTAGTCACTTTGTTTTGGGAGTTAGGAACCCTTAAAAATTAAAGAGGCCCTTTCTGAATGTTTGCTTGGAAGCTTTAAATTTAAACTTCTGTCAGGGTTATCAGACAACAATTGGTCTGAATTGACTGTGGAATATGCTATATAACCTTTTCTTTCACATTTTAAAAACTTGTACATTTCTCCAGGATGTAGTAAGGAAATGGGTAAGAAATTTATATCTATCTTAAGAAAAAAAGAATATAGCTTTTCTTCAAATTGCTTTTATTATACAGTTGCAATGGTATTAATTATAAACATCTAGTCTATTTTCACACAAATAGTCATGAGTACACACTGATAAAGACATGCGCTGGGTAAGAGTCATTATTGGTACATAAACATACTGGGATTTGGGCATGAAAACATAGTATCAATTAAACAGCTTTAGCAGTCTCAAAATAGACTTCAATGACATTCATATATATTTCCTAATTTAAATTGTGTTAGAAACGTTGTGTCTACTTTGAGGAACAAATGTTGTAACAGAAGAGGGAAGACATGTAGGCAAGAAGGCAGGAGATTTTTAGTTGTATACTAAGGTTTAGTTTTGGCACATTGAAAGTATCATGTTTTCCTATTAGATTTCTGAATTTGTGAACAAACATTAACAGCTGCTGTTCTTTAATATGACCTAATTCATACGATATTTGTGGGAAAATACAACTTTAGTTTTGTCTGTTTACTTATTTTTTGATTTTTCCATTATTTCTCAGTGAAGGTACTATCCAAATATTTTTTAGAAGAAGAAAGAAACAACATTTAAGCCTAAGACATTCTTCATGTATTTTTACTGTGGCAAGTAGTCATTCACAATGTGATATAATCATTATTCTTAGTAGTCACTCACAATGTGATAAAATCATTACCCTTCCAAATAGCATTGCATTTTTTGCCTTCCTGGAATATTTTCCTTTCCTTAAATAGAACATCATTTCTCATTAGGATGGACTTATAGGATGCATTTGGGGGATAGTTGAGATCAAGATTTCATTTTCAATATTCCATTTTTCTTGCAGTAAACAAGCTCTTTTTCAGCATATGACATAGATCATAAAATATACTGAAAATGTGAGCATGCAAATAGCAAAACCTAAATTACATTTTATATGGGTACCCATTTGGCTGACAGGACATTTGTTGAAAACATATTATATGTAATATTTAATTGTGTCAAAAATATATTTATTTATTATGAGCCCTTTATTGTTTTAATGTTAAGAACAAATATCCTCAAAATAAACAATCGCTACTAAAATTTTCATTGGAATTGTTTTGGTTGTTTTCTTAAAACTCAAAATAAATTAGCAGGAAATGCATAAAATTATGTGAATCATTTGATTCACAATGATTTCACCCATGAAAAAATAAATACCATGTAGAAATAAATAGCTTTGTAGTAAAATATAAAGGTTTTACCCTTTGTCAAATAAACAAATAGCATGACTTCAGTTTGCTTCATCCTTTCATGTGATCTAGTAAATGATTTGTTTAGCTGCCAGAAGGGTGTTCTTCAGAAGCATTGCCACTGTCATGGGTCCTACACCTCCTGGAACTGGAGTGATAAAGCCAGCTTTCTTCTTAACAGCTGATGAGGAATAAAAACAAACAGAATATTCTTTATTTTAAAATTATCTGAGATTTTAATATTTTTAAACATGCTGAACATAGTGCTTCTTTCTTCATACAAATAATTTTTAGAATCAAGTAGGCTGTAATAAACAGACAAACACACACACACAAACAGCACGCTCACTTAGACGGATAATTCTGTGGGTGGTATCTAAGGTGGACAGAAAGACCACAATGGACCAACACTGTAGGTTCAAGCTCCATGCAGCTCAGTTTGTTTTATATAGTGAAACCCATAATTGACCCAGTTACCTGTAATTCTAGTTAACTAATTCTAAAATACATGATACTGGTCACAAAAGGGACACAGAATATAGAAAGTTCAGCACATACCATTTATTAAGTAGAATTATTCCTGTTAAAACAATATCACAATGTATATGTGGATAATACATTTCAATTCAAGTCTAGTAAGTATCATTAAATATACTTGAATTATGAACACATACATACTCCCCTTCAGAGGTATGGAAACTTATTCAGTGAATACAGATGGTCCCCAGCTTGCAATGGTTTCACTTAAAATTTTTTGATTTTTCAACTGTGCAAAAGCTATACAGATTCAGTGGGAATTATACTTCAAATTTTGAATTTTGCCCTTTCTCCCAGGTAGTGATATGTGATACAATACTTCTCAAGATGCTGAGTAGTGGGAATAAACCAAAGCTCCCAGTCAGTCATGAGATCAACCAATGATCAACCATGATCAACCAATACTCTACAATGTACTGCATTATGAGATTATTTGTCCAAATATAGGCTAATGTAAGTGTTCTGAGCATGTTTATGGTAGCCTAGACTAAGGTATGATGTTTGGTGTATTAAATGCATTTCTGACCTAATGATATTTTCAACTTACGATTACCAAGATGTAATCCCATCATAAGTCATGGAGAATCTGTATACTTAAAGAAAATGGCAGATAACTTTCAGCAAGTTATATTTAAGAATGTTTTCACACCCACAGTATGAAAGGTGAATGACTTATTGCATTCATTTACTTGATGGTATGGTGGTTTACTGTGTGTGTGTGAAATAAGAGCAATGAAGTTTTTCTAAATAACTTTTAGTAAAAAGTTAGCATAGACAGTATTTCTTTAATGTATAATCTGACATTATTAACCACATGCTATTTAGATGTATTGCCTTTTACAATTAGCTCATATAGGCTTCTGTATGAATCAAAATCAATAGATGTTGTCTATATCTTTAGTGTTATTTTTGCACAACTTATGTCGTCCTTTTGAAAGATGATTTGTGGAATTTACCTTTACTTTATTTGAAGTGAACAGTACATTGGAATAATTTTTTAAATTAGAGGAGAAGCAAAGGAATAATATTGCTTTACTTGAAGAAAGGTCCAGTAAGCTTAAATATATCACAAATATATATAGTTAACATGTGTTATGAATTTTTTGATGGCATGTTAGAAAGAAAAGATAAGAATACTGTGATTTGGAAGGTAATATTTCAGTTTTCCAGACAGCCTCTCTATACAGAAAGCACAACCTTTCCATTGCCACATTTACATCTAATGCATTCTATTCTGTAGAAACATTAGAATGGGTCAATCGTCATTCAACAAATAGCTATGAATTTTTAGTCCTTTCTTCCTTTGCTCTAACTGTTCCTTCTACTCGGATCATTATTCCATCTTATCCAAACAAGAAACTCATTATTTCTTGAAAGCCAATGAAATGTCACCTGTCTATAATTTTCTTGAAAAACTCATTCCTCCAGTGTTGAATCGAAAGTCCCACCATCTATATTTCCAATAATTTTATACCTACCTCCATTATGGAACTTAATACACTGTGCACTGTCTGTTCCCTTAACTAGACACCAGCATCTAGAAGGCAGAAGCCAAGTCACTGTGGTGGTTGTTTTTAATTCTTAGAAGGTGCACAGCTTAGGCACTCAGCAGATTTTGAGAAAGTGAACTTAAATTGCCCTTACTTAAAATCTAAAACTAATTTGCAGAAATGTGCTTTTGACTGGATGTAAACGATATCAATTTAGTTTAAGCTAATTTACTGAAAAACTCGAGCTACTCCTTTTGCTTTAGGGTGATAAACTGCATTTTCTACTTTTCAATAAGCTGACTTAATGGCCTGAGAAATGCCTTCCAGGACCTTTTCTCAAGCATTGGAGAAGCAATGCCTTTAAAACTTGGCAGGTCTTTAGAAGAAACATTTATCCTCCTCCTCCCCCTCCTCCTCCTCCTCCTCCTCCTCCTCCCTCCCTCCTCCCCTCCTGCTCCTCTCCCTTCCCGAACTACGTATTTATATTACTACTACAATTTATAGCTAATAGAACATAAGCTATATATTTGAAAGCACTAACTGAATATTCAATATATAAGAATAAATTCCTGCTAATAATATGGGAAAGTAAAAAATCAAAGTCAAATTGAATTTCAATGGAAAAAACAAACCTGATTTTATTTCAACAAATTAAAAGTGGCATACTTCTCGTTTATACTCGCCAATCTATTGTGGTATCAAATTATTTTTATATAGTGGTTTCTAACTTTGAAGGTAAAGTGCTTTGATATTATTTTGTCTATGAACAAAATATAAAAACATAGCTTACTATCAATGATAACCTATTAATTCATTCCAGAATTATATACAATTGTTTAATATATACTTTAATTATTCCTCCTTTAAAATGAGGAAACTGTGGCTCATGTGGAAGTTACAGTGACTTATCACTCTTCCTATATGGTAGAGACCTTATTCACAGCCAGGTTGGAAATAACGTCTAATATTCGCCATACTTCTCACCCCATTCCAATGCAACTGTATTCACTCATTGATCTGAACAAAGTAGAAAATCCAAAGAAATGCCTCAAGTGCCAGAATTAACCTTAGTTTTCTCAAAGTGTTAGCAGCGAATTCTGGAAAAAAGAAATGAACAGAGAACCAGCGTTCTAATATATTAATTTTTCAACATTTTGACTATGGTTCCATAGGCTCATCATCTCTGAACTACACTATTACACTTTACAAGCGCTGGCTTATGCAATTGGAGTGCACTTTATCCTGTCAATCAGGATAAACACTGTCTGCTCAAGGCATCATTACTCCTCCTTCCAATTACGTTTTCAGACCAACATGCTTTACTACTGGCCATTCCTCTTTGCTCAAACAAGTGGACGGGTTTGCAGTAGCAGAGGAGGGAATGTGACTGGATACTGCATGAAACTAATATCTGCCTGAAATTTCTTTTAGCTCAGTTGCTCTTACATTTTGCATACCCTTGCTGGTGGAAACCCAAACCACACATTCACCATGTCCTGCCTATCAGTCTTTCACAGAATTAACTCTATGCGAAGGCTAATAGGTCTCCTCACACTTGACTGGGCTAAGGCTTCTCTGAACATTAATAAGACATTTATACCTCAATAGAACCCCTGAAAAACACTTCCACGGGCAGAAAAGATTAATAATATCATGTAAACACACCTGTTATTCAACTACTTGCTTTAATCCTTTTTTGTTTTGTTTTGAAATAAAGTATATGGATATGAAAAGATAAACCCTTACATGCCTCCATAGAGAAGACAGACGGTGATTAAATTTACTAGAAAACAACCATATTAGGTTTCTGTTCCCTTTAGTGATTCACCTTTCATGAGTACTAAACAAAAGAAAGAAATAATAAGCCTACCTGCTCGCTCGCTAGTGTTAATATATTCGTTTGGTCTATTTACGAAGAGGATCAGGATACAGAAGTAACGTGATTCTCTCCAGAAAATGTGGGAGTATTGGAAGTCCCGGATAACAGAATGTCGATGCTTAACAAAAAAACTTCTCTACTCTAAATTTTTGCATAATATCCTCAGGCGATCCTAAAGCAACACATTTATGAAATACTGAGAGGTGCCTTATGGCTGCACCCCTTAGCCCATGTGACAGAAAGAATACATTTTATTCACATTGACGCTCTGAAAAGCCATTTTCCCCAATCATGTCTGAAAGAGAGCAAGGTAACTAGCCATTACAAATCACCCAGAATAACCCCTCATTGGCTAAGTCCTTCCCTGAAGGGCAGAACAAAGGGTTTTGCAACTTAGTTGAAGATAATGCTTTTTAAAT